AGTTATGCTGCAATAGACGTAGGCTGCCGGGGGATTCCCATGATGCATTGAGTTTTTCCTTTCCAGTCACCTTTCTCACTCACTATGTGTTAACACAAAGTTACGCTGATGCCTAGGACAAGCTGATGGCATAAGATATAAGTACAACTCCCCCAGTTTCATATCCAAAAAAAATTATTGCGCTAGCTTATGTGGTTGCAGTTCTACAGGGATTTAAAATAGTTACGCAAAACTAGACCGGTCTTAAAGGGATGCGTTATACCTCCTCCCTCACAGAGAGAATTATGACCTTATTTTCCGCTTGGCCGTCACCTAAGGATTTACATCCCTGATAAGGAGAAGGAGTCCCACTATCTGTTCAACGTCACCCATTACCATGGCCTCACTGTGTTAACATTCCATATGCATCCAAACTGGTGACAGGTCTTACTATAGTAAAGTGAGAAAGTGATATTACTATAACTAATGTGATATGATTAAAAACGTGATTCCACCGGACGCATGTCTGCTGAGCTCTCCATCAGCACAGGATCTCCACAGGGCTGCTGCCTCAGCCCCAAACTCTTTAGCCTGTACACCTATGACTTTGTCTCCACCCAGGAAAACTCCATCTTCATCAAATATGTTGATGACACCACCATCCTGGGGCTCATCAAGCGGGAGGACGAGTCTGGGTACAGGACCCTGGTAGACAGCGTGCTTGCCTATGGTGTGGAAAACAACCTCATCCTCAATACAGAGAAGACCAAGGAACATCAGGAAGAACCCCCTGCTCCCCTGCAGCCTCTTATCAACAAAGGGACACAGGTGGAGAGGGCCAATGGCCACAGATCCCTGGGACTGCAGGTCACATCAGACCTGAGCTGGACTCTCAACACCACAGCAACAGAGAGGCAGAGAGGAGGGCTCTGCAAAGAGTCATCAGGTCTGCAGAGAGGATCATAGGTACAAAACATCCTTCCATGTACTCACTGTACACGCAACGCTGCTAAAAAAGAGCAGAAAGAATTATTAGGTACCCACAATGTGCAATATTCTGTGTGCAATTCTAGGATCTGTATTACCACCCTCTCTTTAGTGTGTATTTGTACATAGTAAATACTATAATTGCTCCATTCTTTGCAATATTTCTATTTTCTTTTTTGAGTTGCTTTGTTTTTACCTTGTAAAAATGTAACTTGACCTGGGGAGCTCTTCCAATGTGCATTGACGGTTGGTCCTGTGCGCAAATGGCAAATAAAAATCTTGAATCTTGGAGCTATTAAAACAGAATGGGTTCATACTAAGAAACCCAGAAGTGTCCTGCCTGCAGGCCAGACAGTTCACCAACTGAAAACACTAAATAAATAAATGGCAAAAGAAAAACAAAACAGTTGAGCAGATAGAACTCTTCATCAGACAAAGAGCAAAAGAGTCATCTCCCAAAGTTCTCCAAGTGGTGTTTTTATGTCCCACATGTTTACAGGTATTGTTAAAGGAGGAGGAGAATAATACAAGATTTCTGTACTCAGTTAACTCTTCTTCTAGCTAGATGCCTAGCAGTTTATACCATGATTAGACTTTATAGAGATCTGCACCTCGAATGCATCACAAGGACAAGAAGGAGAAAGTAATGTAAGTGTGTAAGCAGCCATGGGATGTCATTATGTTCTTATTACTGAGTAAGTATCTTTGTACTGGAAGCTTCTCCAGGCTGCAGCACATGAACAGTAATATGCACTAATCTGCTTATCATTATTCAGTAACAAGCTACTGCTTGCTCATCACTAAAGATAACAGAATGGTGTCCTGGATTGTTTCGCTTGAATATAACCCTCGTGTTATACCTTTTTAGTAGAGATACAGACAATTATAGCGAGTATGGGAATAGTGACGCTAGCATTGTAGACATTGTATGTATGGCAGTGAGGTTTCGTCAGGACAAGCAAGGCCAGCTCTGCTTGCTTGTCAAATCTAATAATAGACATGAATGAAATTTGTACCATGAAAAAAACAAAAACTTTGACAATAATGGAGAGTAGACAGCAGCTCTGATCATGTCCAATTCAATCGACTGGGCAAGCTAACCAGGTGCAGGTTCAGCCGCATTTTCAGATTAGCAACCAAGTGTCTAAATCTAATACCTTTATGGGCTGTTTCACGAGCACTCTATTCTGATTAATATTTTTATTTATACCTGTAGATATTGAAAGGGTTTGTTTTAAAATGTATATTTTAAAAACCAAGCTGCGGCCTGTGTTTCAGAGCAAATGAACAACAGTTTTTTTCAGCAACACGTGGTCCTCAGCCACTACAAATATCTTAATATTTTTAATGTTTGCAATTCTTCATCAAGGAAGGAGAGCAGAAAGGTGAAGCTCTCCATGTATAGTTCAGATAAGCAGTACAAATTACATGTCTAAGGAGCTTGAAAAGAAAAGTGTCTGGACTTTTTTCTGTAGCTTAAAGTAGTCCAGATGCTTTTCTTTTTTCCTTAGACTACGACAACTGAGAACCTTCACAGACACACAAACTGTATGTTTTA